TTGCTATGTGCACCACATTGCTATGTGCACCACAACAGCTAGGATTGTATTTGCACAAAATTGGAAAAGTGAAGAGATCCCACAGAGGAGAACGTGATTAGGAAAATATTAGAATGTGCAGAAATAAAAAAATAGACACTGGCTATCAAAGAGAAAGAACAAACCAATTATTATACAATTTGGGAATCTTTTTAGCGGTGGTTAGATAATGGATTGTTTATATAAAAATAAAATAAAAAATTATAATCTAAAATAAATAAATATTATTGCCCCTAGTTTAAAAAACACTGCTAAAAAGTACTAGAATTCAATACCCAGAATTCCTCAATGAGTATTTTTAGAGGGAAGCCCAGAGTTTCACCCATAACTATCACACTTTCCCCCTTATGGTCAGTCTGGTTGATAGTGAGTTTATATATGTTCTGTTCTCTGTATAACAGTGTATTGACACTGCATAATGTAAAGGTAAAGGTTCCCTTTCCACATATGTGCTAGTCGTTCCAAACTCTAGGGGGTGGTGCTCATCTCCATTTCAAAGCCGAAGAACCAGCACTGTCCAAAGACGTCTCCGTGGTCATGTGGCCGGCATGACTAAATGCTGAAGGTTACCTTCCCACCAAAGGCGGTTCCTATTTTTCTACTTGCATATTTTGCGTGTTTTCGAACTGCTAGGTTGGCAGAAGCTGGGACAAGTAACGGGAGCTCACTCTGTTAAGTGGCGCTAGGGATTCACACCACGGAACTGCTGACCTTCTGATCGCCAAGCTCAGTGTCTTAGTCACTGAGCCACCACGTGCATATCACTAGTTTAGTATCGTAGGAAGTCTTGAGAGTTAAGCATCCCTTTCCAACTCTCATGAATATGAGTGAGTTGCCAAGTGTCTGAATTCTGATCATGTGGCCCTGGGGATGCTGCAAAGGTCATAAATATGAAAAACGCTGGTAAGTCTCTTTTTTTCAATGCCGATGTAACTTCAAGCAGTCACTAAATGAACTGTTGCAAGTCGAGGACTACCTGGTGAGGATTCTGACTATGCTACCAGTCTGTGCTCCTTGGAGGTGCAGAATTACCATATTATTCGAACTGTAAGACACACCTTTTCCCCCCTAAAAGAGGGTGAAAATTTGGGTGTGTCTTATACACTGAATGTAACCCCACCCACTCACCGTCCCCCTCCTTTGGCCTCTGCCTCCCAGCAATTTACCTCCGTGTAGCAAATGGGGAAAATGGGGCTTCCAGAGGCTGCAATAGGCTATAGCAATCCCTGCAGCTGAAACAGCTGATGATCCGGAAGCCCATGCTGAAATTGAAAGTGAAACTTGCTGTGAGACAAATTGCTGGGAGGCAGAAGCAGATTTTTTTTTCTTGTGCTAATCAGGCTGTTTGCTGCTTGCTGCAAGAAGGTAAGTA